GTACGATGCTTCGTTGCAAAGTTTACTTTCCATTTTTACCGACAGTACAAGTGCTGCCACTTATCGGACGCGACTGGAACTGATCAATTACGAACAGCGCGAGTACTGCGTCCGAGCGTTTTTTAGTTATCTCGTATATGCTTCGTATACCTCGCTGTGCAAAAAGAAAAGAGAGAAAAAAGAACGGCGGCAAAAATATGAGAGATTCAATTTGAAAACAATTAGAAGAGCCAGCGCTCGGCAAAATCTGTTGTCATTGAACAAAAAGTTAAATAAAGTAATACTCGTTGTGTTTTTCAGGTTAATCGTTGGAGTATCGTTAATTGAAAGGAATAAGCTTCACATTCGGAATCAATAATTTACTTTAGTTCTAGCTATTAGACAAGAAAAGCAATGATCTGCGACAAGAACGGATACGTTAGTCCTACCGTTTTGCCGATAGCGTTTCAGTATCTGCAAATTGACCAAATTTTCATTTGTGAGGAAAGACTAATCTTAAAGTGATCAATTTGTCAACTCTTGTAACTTTCATTGCCAATGTCTCGTTTTTCTCACAATCAGACACATCACGCAGAAACAGAATTTCTCATTCTCTCATTGTCAGCACTATACTAGTAATTTAAATTTTATTGTCTATAGGGACATTTTCACGTGTCAATAAGTTGGCGACGGTCTTGTGATTCGGGTGTCGAGGGAGGTGTAAATCAACGACAGCGGGTCTTCGTCTCTCTGCAATTGAAATATTAAATACAATTTAATACTTCGATTGATACGTCACGTCTAATACGTTAGGAACAGGAGTTACGGAATAGCAACGAAAATGGTTGATCGCGTGAATATCAAAGAAATGATACCGGCTTTGCCGGATGAAAAAATTGGTAATTCTTTTTGAATATACATACCTGCTTCTTAATTTGACATTGCCCCTCCCAATGATGCGATGCGTTTTATAAATATAATATTGCTCTTATTTACATTTCAATTTTTTGTCTACTTCTTGAAAAAAAATGACAGATTGCCAATGACAAGTAAGATTGGCAACTATAGCCAATATTGTACTGTGTACGTCATTTGAAAGAATTTTGTTTTTTATACTGAAACAACGAGTTCTTTTTGTAACGATTTCTAAGGGAATTTCTCTCTAAATAAATTGGTAATGTTTATTCTTACTTGATAAATCTGTCCTCGTTTAATCGTATATTATATTTGTTACGTTTTAAGTTGTTATTTTAATTTGTTATCTTAACTGCAAAGGTTTGCATCGTTGTTTTATTCTTACACTGGTACGATCAGAAATTGTTCGTTAACAGTAGATAACAGTGATATTTCAAATATTTTAGACATGCTTGCTGCTACCAGTATTCTTCAGCAACAAGCTGCTGATATTAGGAACCAGCAAATCAAGTGGCAGTCCTATCAACAGTAAGAGCATCATTTCAAATATTGATATAACATTATTATAAATATTTTAACTTTTGCTTCGAACAGTCCATAAGATTGTACATAAATTGATGTAATTCTTATATTACGTGTATAGGATCCAGTTTTTTCCATAAAGTATTTCCAACGTATTTGTAATATGCCGTAATAACGCTGACAATGAGATTAATACCAATTTCTAGTGCAGCCAATTCATAGCTTATTTGAAATATTTTTTCCTTGAAAAAGATCTTTACTTTACGAAAGTGTATAAAAAATTATGGTAACTAAAAGCAACATATTTTTTATAGGTCTCACATGATATCTAAAGAAGATTATGATTTTATAGTGGCTTTTGATACGAATGATGCTAATGTTCGGGATGCAAAACTCAAGGAAAATCCACATCAAGCTGCAAAAACCTTTCTTAACTTACTTGGTCATATTTCGAAAGACCAAACTATTCAGTACATTCTTACAATGATTGATGATATGCTTCAGGTACGTTGAATCGTAAATTAAATTGTACTAAAATCACATTCATCTGAATCTATCAATTATGCAGCATAGAATAGGAATTTGGTGCTTCTCGCTATTTAAAATTGTTTTATTCAAATTTGCACTTGTATCTTATGATGTAATAAATTATAAGTATGTCTTTTTTCCTTGTTGAATATTTTCAAACGTACGTATTTAAATTCTAGGAAGATCGTAATCGGGTAGAAATCTTCAGAGAACATTCAAGTCGTAAACGTGAGTCAGTATGGGGTCCTTTCTTGAACTTGTTAAATAGACAAGATGGATTTATAATGAATATGACATCTAAAATTATCGCCAAACTTGCTTGTTGGAGCCATGATTTAATGGAAAAAACAGATCTCCAATTCTACTTGACATGGTTAAAAGATCAACTGAAACTCAGCGTAAGTTGACAGATCATCTTTTTTAATCTTCTTTTGTCTGCTAATGAGATTTCTTTTAATGTTCAGAATAATGAATACATTCAGTCCGTGGCACGTTGTTTACAAATGATGCTTCGCATAGACGAATATCGTTTTGCATTCGTGTCAGTTGATGGAATTTCCACTTTGTTGAGTGTTTTAACGGGCAGAGTAAATTTCCAAGTACAGTATCAACTGATATTTTGTATATGGGTACTTACTTTCAATCCTTTACTTGCAGAGAAAATGAACAAGTACGTAACACGTGTATTTTGTACTTGCATTGTAAAAAATTATAACAAAATTAAAAACGTAATATCGAACTTTTATTCCAGATTTAGCGTTATTCCTATTTTAGCGGACATATTGAGCGATTCCGTTAAGGAGAAAGTAACTCGCATTATTTTGGCAGTATTTAGAGTAAGTTATCTAAATGCTGTAAAGCGCTTAAAATTTGCATTTTTAAAAATTCACCACTAAAGTAATTGATCGATCGATTCGTAGTTTTAAAACTCTTTATATTTTGCTTTTTAACATATACTCCGCAGAACCTTATTGAGAAAGTAGAAGATGGACAAGTCGCCAAAGAACATTGTATCGCTATGGTACAATGTAAAGTACTGAAGCAACTTTCGATTCTTGGACAACGTAAATTCGATGACGAAGATATAACCGATGATATTGAATTTTTAAATGACAAATTACAAGCATCCGTTCAAGATTTAAGCTCTTTCGACGAGTATTCGACCGAAGTAAAGTCGGGACGCCTTGAATGGTCTCCCGTTCACAAATCTGGTAAATTCTGGCGAGAAAATGCGAATCGACTGAATGAAAAGAATTACGAGTTACTGCGTATTCTGGTACATCTATTGGAGACTAGCAAAGACCCTTTAGTTCTCAGCGTAGCTAGCTTCGACGTAGGAGAATACGTAAGGCATTATCCACGTGGCAAACAGTACGTTCAGTGAAACTTTTTTTTGCCTGCAAAAAAATAACGTTGAAAGGTAATTTACTAAAGTCATTTTTGAAATTATTTCAGTATAATAGAACAACTTGGAGGTAAGCAACGAGTGATGCAACTTTTAGGACACGAAGATCCTAATGTGAGATACGAAGCTCTCCTCGCCGTTCAAAAACTCATGGTACACAATTGGTACGTAATTGAAATATCTGCATGTAAGAAAAAATTTACTTGAGAAATCTAAATCTAACTAAATCGTTTGACGTAAATTGTCGTGACATTTATCGGTGTCTTGCTTACATAGGGAGTATTTAGGAAAACAACTGGAGAAAGAACAGACTGGAACAAATGCGCCAGGAGCGAAACCTGGGGCACAAGTCCCAGCGAAAGCTTAGATAAATATGTAAGTTTTACAACTGTAAATTTCACTTAAAGTCTGTACATTTTGTCTTCGTTTTCGTATTACCTCTAAATGCTTTTATTCGTCAGTATTTTACACTACTACGTATAAAAATTGAAAAAAAAAA